GATGGGCAGCGAGCAGCTAGACAGGGTCCTCGAATTCCTAGGGCCAGACGTGGGTGACGGGGAGGATGAGGGCGAGGTGGACCTAGACGTCGACCGACTGGCGCCCGACCGGCAGCTTGCCTTGGTCCGACAGGCTTGCGCCAGTCCGCCCCTGCCACCAGCACAGCGTTTACGTGGTGATGTGCGGGAGAGGGCGTGGATGACGTCCTCCCGCGGCCGCTGCTCCGGCAAGAACCTCGCGCCCGACAGCGCGCGTGGCCACCAAGGCCTCCAAGGCTTGTGCTCTGCACCGCAGGCCGGGCCACGGGCCGCTGCAGAGCTGCTCTCGGAACCCCGGCCCTGCCCCCAGCTGGATGGTCAGATTTGGGCAGGGTGTTCGGGCTGGACGAAAGGGGGGGATTGTGAAAGGGGGGGGTTACGAAATTTGCTCCATGCAGCTGGTTTCGGCGGGGCCCATTCTTCGATACAAGCCGCCTCCGGCGCCGGGAGGCGCCGGGAAAATCAGCTACGTGAGCTGATTCTCAACCCCCCCTTTGCTATCCCGCCCGACCCGAGGTGCGCGCCACACGCGCACGCACCACACGCGCACGAGAAAGCGCGGAAGCACGCGTGCAGTACGCTCCCGCTGGGCCTCGGCAGGGGCCGCCGCGCACACTCGCGCCACCACTGCGAGCACCACGCACGTCACCGTCGAAACGGCTGCATGGGTAGGGATAGCAGCAGCAGCAGCAGCAGCAGCAGCAGAAGCAGCAGCAGCAGCAGAAGCAGCAGCAGCAGCAGCAGGAGGAGGAGGAGGAGGAGGGAGAGTGATAAGAGCGAGCGAGCGCGGGAAAGAGGAAGAGAGGAGATGAATAGGGGGTGGAGCAGAAGATGAGTGATGGAGGGGAGGGGGAGGGGGGGGCAAAGCGTGTAATGATCTGAGGGTTTGCTTGGCTGTCTTCTCGTTCTGCAGGTCATGTTCAGATGCCCTTGGAGATTGAGGCGTTTGTGGGGCCCTCGGCATCCACGACGCCTGAGAGGGTGCCGTACAACTCCTAGGCCCGAAGGGGAACCCAGGAGAAGATCGAGGCAGGCGAACACAGGCTATCATGGCTTCGACGCGGGACCCACTTGCATCCACAGTGGCGTTATCCGGTCGTTGACAGCGCGATCGGGAAACGGTGACATGGGAGGCAAAGTTGGACGCCCGCGTCTTTCCCTTGCCGGTGCCGGCGTCGGAACATAGTTGGCGGCCTCCTGCAAGCTGGATGCCTGATCTCCATTGGTTCGAATCCTGCCCAGAATGCGGGGGGGAACAAAAATAAAGGAACGCCCGCGTCTTTGGGCACAATGCCAAGACCGGTGACTGCGAGAAGGGGGGCATGGTGGAGGCGACAGTGGAGCCCAACGCCATTTACCACAGCGCTGAACGATCGTGGGCCGTCCTGGAGCCGCCTTGGGCCGGCCACGGCGACTGCCGGGGGGCGCAGAAGGGGCCAAAGCAAGCACGCGAGCCGCTGCTGGCGCACGTAACGATCGGCCAGCCGCACGCCAAGGTTGCGTAGCGTCACGCCTGGCGTGTGGCCAGCTGCGGCGGACGTGGAGGCCGACTGGGGGTCTCTGGGGCCATGGGGCGTCCCTTGGATCGGGCCGGACGAAAGGGGGGGATTGGGAAAGGGGGGGTTACGAAATTTGCTCCATGCAGCTGGTTTCGGCCCCACCGAGTGGCCCATTCCTCGTTACATAGCCGCCTCCGGCGCCGGGAGGCGCCGGGAAAGTCAGTCACGTGAGCTGATTCTCAAACCCCCCCTTTGCTATCCCCCCCTTTCGCCCGACCCGATTGGGGCCTCTTCGGCCAGCTCTGGGAAGTCTTAGGGCCGCCTGGGAGCGTCTAAGAGCTGCGCTGGAGCGATCTCGGGTTGTCTTGGCACCACAGCTGGGGGCCTCTGGGGCCGTCTTGGCAGCCTCTTGGATTGTCCTGAGGCGTCCTGCGTGCACATTGTGCTCTCATCGGAGGCCTTTGAGCCGAAAAGTTGAAATGTAAGTCTACCGTCGAAGGGCAGAACCCTGTGCGGCTGCGCGTGGCGCAGACCGTGGCCCTCTCCTGATGAGCTGCGCGCCGACGGAGGGTTGAAGTTCGAGGCGCGATCCGTGCAAGTGGTGTGCCGACACGGCCCCATTGGGGCCATAAAGGTGGGGGGAGCTACCTACTGGGCACGATCCGCGTGAGGGGTGTGCTGAGATCAGCGGCGGCCCGCATGCGAACAGCCCATTGGGGCCGTGTGTGGAGCTCCTTACGGGACACAGTCCGTGTCAAGTTGTGCCGACATGGTCAGAGATGCGGACAGACCCAGTGGGGCCGTAGGTGGAGCTTCTACGCGGCACGGTCCGCGTGAGGGGTGTGCCGAGAGGGCGGCGGGAAGAGCACGGGAGGGCTGGGGAGCGACAGCAGCAGTTGCGGGCGGGAGAGCGGGGAGGAGAGGCAGAGAGAAGGAGGGCGGGAGGCGCGCGGCGCAGCGAAGAGGGAACGAAGACACAGCACCTCAGGAGGCAGGGGAGGACGACGACGACGACGACGACGACGACGACGACGACGACGACGACGACGACGACGACGGCGACGGCGACGGCGACGGCGACGGCGACGGCGACGGCGACGGCGGCGGCAACGGCGACGGCGACGGCGACGGCGACGACGAACGACGACGACGACGACGACGACGGCGACGGCGACGACGACGACGACGACGACGACGGCGACGGCGGCGGCGGCGGCAGCGGGGGAAAAGATGGAAGTACATCAAAGACCGCGACGGCCGCTACCTCTCTGGGTCTCTCCGCGGGGCCCCAGGACCATCTTCGGGCCTCTGATGACCTCTTGGGCGATGATGGGGCTATGGTGGAAGTGGCAGCGCCCTGTCGTGGGCCAACCTCAAAGTTCCGGGGAGCAATCTAGGACGAGCTCGGGCCACATTGGCGCCACTTGGGGGGTTCTTGACTGGCCATATGGGAACCACTTGTGAGCGACCCAAAAACGGGGTCGTCTGCGCCGACATTGGCGCGTAAGCTGCCCGCGTAAGGTCGCGCGTAAGCGCCCTCGTCTTCGATGTGGCGTGCCGCGCCGGCGGCCCGCGTAAGCCGCCGCTTAAGGTCGCTGCGTCATCTCGCGCAAGACCAGTTTTTGATCGTCGCCCCTTTGGGGGCTTCTTCATTGCCTCGAGGGCCAAGCCTCCGATGTGGGGGAGCCTGGAGGGCCCCCAAAGGTGCGCGGAAGAAAGCTCTCAAGGGCCACCCCGACCACTCCAACGGGGCTTGGCACCCCGAGCAGGAGGGACGCTGGGAAGAAGGACGCCAAATTCGAGGTCCTGCCTCCTCCTCCCTCCTCCGCCTCCCTCCTCCTCCTCCCTCCTCCCTCCCCTCCTCCTCCCTCCTCTCCTCCTCCTCCTCTTCTCTCCTTCTCCTCCTCCTCTTCCTCCTCCTCCTCCTCCTCCTCCTCCTCCTCCTCCTCCTCGTCCTCCTCCTGCTCCTCTTCCTCCTCCTCCATACAGGGATCAAGGCGCGTGGATTAGCGGCGAGTCCCACTTCCGAGTGGAATCGGCGCGCTGCGTAGCCAAATCGGGCCGCACAGGCGCCATGTTTATGCGGAGGTACCCTCCCCGATCCATGCCAGCGTGTGCCCAACCTTGTCCTTGTACCATTGCCTTCCAGCATAAGGTCATGAGCCTGACTTCCGGCGCCATTTGAAGATCTACATGGTCTGAGAGTTCTCTGATCGTCCCGCTGCCGCTTCGTCCCCCCTTCTGGCCCCTCTTCCGCTCTCGCCGACATGATCTGCGGACACGCCCCGCCGTTGGCCCGACCGCCTGCTGGACCCGACTCGCCGCAGACCACAAAGCGTGCCTGGGTCCCCCCCCCTCCCCCCCTCGGGCGCGGTGCCCAGACCCCCGACGTCATGATTTGTCTTCATAACTCGGGTTGGCCCAAAAGGGGGCCCAGCGACGAGGGGGTGGTGCAATAGATCTGGTGCAATAGATGTGTGGGGCTGCAATAAATCTGGGGCGTGCAGCACATTCCGGGGCGCAAATGTATTGCTGGATGTTCGCATGCAGTACATTACTTACAATACAATGCAATGCACTTCTCCGGTGCAATACATTTGCAATACAATTGCCCGACATCTATTGCACCACCCCTTTTCAGCTGGACCCCATTTTGGGTCACCCAAAACAACATCGACTCCCAGAGGTCTCGACCCATCCCCCGGAACCAGCTTTTTCTCCTGAGTCGATTTTTGACGGTCAAGAGGCCTGGCAAGGGCCCCAGAGGCCGAGAGTAGCGAAAAGTGTGCCGTCGTGGTTTTTCATGGCCCGAGGAGGGGGTGGGGGGGCGGCCGAACCGCCATGGGGTACAAAGTCGTCCCCTGGTCTGAAGCCGAGCCGCCAACAGTGCAATCGATTGCGATTTCCACGCTCTTGCACGTGCTCGCACGCCGCCCCTTGCCACACTCGTCCCTGCCAGGTGCGCCATCCCTGGGCGCGGCTGCTGTCGGCCTCCGCCCGCCCGAGGCTCGAACACCCACGTGGGCGCGACGGTTGCAGGCATGGGCGCCGGCGCAGCGCTCGAGCTCAGAGCGAGTCTGGCCATCCAGACCGTTGAAGCCTTCGCGAAGGACGCTGAGGCCACAGCGATCGGGCGAATGGGTGCAGGGGATTTTCGCAGCGCAGCAGACACCAGCGAGCCACCCGACAAAAAGCCCCGACGGAGGGGCTCACCGCGGCGGCCTCGCCGGGAGGGGGGGCAGGCAAACGAGGGCAGGCCTTCCTCGGCGGGGCCCAGAAGGCCTCCGGCCTTCTGCGGAGCTCTCTGACCCTCCGCCTCCGCCTCCGCCTCCTACGCCTCCCTCCTCCTCCTCCTCCTCCTCCTCCTCCTCCTCCTCCTCCTCCTCTCCCTCCCCCTCCCCCTCCTCCTCCTCCTCCTCCCTCCCTCCCCCTCCCCCTCCTCCTCCAGCTCCCCCTCCTCCT